CATACCTGCTGAACTCCAACTCATGAGGAAGTTAAAAGCATATGACACAATCCAAGAACACAACCAGCTAACCAAAGTCACAAGACTTCCAGCAGAGCCCTTCACGTTAATGGGAAATATCTGGAAAATAAAATATAAGCATTGATCATGTTGAAGATAATGTTATGTTTGAATTTTTTATTTCCTGGGTTAAGGCACAGTATGACGAAGCTAGCTACCTCAGACATTATAACCCATGGAATTGCTCCAATGCCTATCGAGTAAGATCCCACGTATACCTGGAGAATCACCTCATGTCAGCCCATAAGTAAATTGGTCTCAGTACATAACAGGAATTCAATATTCTTATTGTGAAATCATTCAGAAGCATCATTCAAATGTTGAAATCAATTCTATCTCGCTAAGACAAACACAAGGCCAATGAAAAATGAAAGAGAATGAGACACATCATAAAAGTTTAGCAAGAAATCAAGGATTCACTAGATATGCCAGGAATAATAGTCTTCTACAGTTGTGCTATTGTTACAGAACAGATTATGAGCTAAGTGTTTCACTTGACTCTTTCGCGGTCATAAAATATAGCATTGTAATCCATTTAAGTTAGATACCTAGAATATGAAATTAAATTTTATGAGATTTCAGTATTTAGTTGATGATCCATATATAGGCATATAAGTGCAAGAACATTACCAGTACACCCACTAGCGCCATAATGGGACTAACTCCCTTCCATTTATGTAGGTCCTGCATCAAGCAATCCTAATTATTCTCAGAAATTTGTGTGAAAAACAACTTACTGGATCAGATTTTGTAATTAAAAGAACCTGCAAAACGAATGACAAGGCTGCCAGGAAGCATCCTAAGCATGTTCCCACTGCAGACACCTGTAAGAAAAATAAAAAAAAAATTTGGTATCAGTATTAACAGAACGCTGCAAAAAATTAGGAACAATATAGTTCAACATTTTTACCAGCAAAAGTGGCCGTCTTCCGGATTTATCCATTAAAAGCACTCCTAAAGTTGTCATTGGAATCTATAAAGTATAAACATAAATGATGGAATAGTATGAAAAACAAGAATGAAAGGGTTCACTCATCAAAGCATCCATCTTATTATACAGAATCAAGCAGAGAGAAATGATGAAATCATGTGAAGAGAAGAATTAAGAACCTTAACGGCAACCATTGCTATTGTTCCAATACTTTCTGAAAACCCTGTCATCACAAGAGATTTTTCTTTTGTGTGAATCATGTCATAAATTTAATATTCTCATATTCATTTTCTCTAACTTGTCATATGATGGATGAAAGCATAGAAAAGGAGTTGCACATACCAGCTGAGATAAATATAGAGTTGGCATAAAAAACAATGCCATTAATCCCTCCAAATTGTTGCAATATCATCAAGCCGACTCCAACCTAACCATGTAACTAAATACCATAAGAGCCCTGCAAAAGGTTAACATAGGCCACATGAATAGGGATAATTTAGAATTCTCACAATAAGTGACTTCAAATACTGCATTTGAAATAAGCCAATGATGCTAGCTTCTGTTTGCCGCTGAAAGGCTGCTGTATAATCCTACAAATAAAGGTAAAATGACAAAAAATGATAGATTAAACTCTTTGGTTTCTTCCTTTTTTTATTTCCCTTCTTTGCGTCCTAGTAAGATTGTAATTCAAATCTAACATTCTAACAATCAAAAACTAGTTACATACTCTGATTTCAGTGGCCTCTTGATAAACATCAGCATCCTTCCCCCTGAGACGCTGTAAAACAGAATCGCTCTCTTTCAAGCGACCGACCTTAGCCTGCATAAGATTGCAACTATCATTTGTGATATGTGCGTCTAAGGACTGATGTCTTAACTCCAACCATTTTATAAAAATGATGAAAATATCAGTTCCTTGTGTGAGCAGTGTCGAACAAGTACTTGGACAAACAATAAAATTACAAAAGCTCTGAACAACTCACCAGCCACCTAGGAGAATCTGGAATGAAGGGAAGACTCAGAAGCTGCACAAGACACGGAATAGTTCCTAAGACAAAAACAAAAAAAAAACATGGGAGTTACGTGAAGCCCTTTTTTTAATTTGGTTTGTGAAAAGAACATCAAAGAGAAGAATAATGTTACCAATTAGAGCCAAGATCCGCCAATTTACATATGCTCCAATAAGATAAGTTAATGACATCCCAATACAAATCATTAACTGTCAAAATAAGACCAAATTGGGATTTAAAATAAGCCTATACGTGACATAGTAAAACATAAGTGGTATGGCACATACAATAAAAGTAAAATGATATTAAAAGATTGAATCATTTTAGTATTGCTTTACCTGATGAACTGCAGTGAATGCCCCTCGAAGATTCTTGGGTGTTATTTCAGCTACATAAATGGGTACCTAATATACAAATGAAATCATGTATTTGTATTTCTTGAGTGACTGAATGTCATTTGAATTGCAATCATAACATGTTGCATAGTCACAAGTCAAAAAAGTTACCACATAAGATAGAAGGCCAATCCCACATCCTATCAACAACCTTCCAACATAAAGCCACATAGCTACCTTCAAAAGGCACCAAATGTTATTAACAGCAACTGAATTTGAGGAAAATGCATGAAATGAAGACATTCGACTAATAGAATCGTAGTGGTTCAGTAGCTCAAAGTCTGCGGTCCTTACTTCTTACTCTATCCATCAACTTCAATGTGTTTATAAAAACTGCAACTCAACAGAAAGTTTGCTTGGAATTTTGTTAGAAGGGATTACTAATGATTACTAATGTCTAATATTCTTTCAAATAAGCCTCAATAATCTTACTCTTCTTATCCGGGAAACTTTGGTCTTTAATTAAGCCGAATGGTGTCATGTTATACATGTAACCGACCCAACCTTGTATAAAATTTTGTTATTGCCTTTTTTCTTACTATTGCTAATACCAGGGCAGGTTTAAATACTTTTTCCATTCCTACAAATATATCAATTTTTTCACTTTTATGTATAAAAAAAATATATTTATGATTGCTGTTATGTCTAAACCTTTCATTTTTAATCATTCTCATAAAAATGATATTTAAGCCTAATGAGACAGATTAGTTCTTGGTAATTGGCTTAAGAGATTGCGTAGAAAAATAAATAAATAAATAAATAAATAAACCTACAAGGGCATGTACTTAAAGTTCTCAATAGTTACAATAAATTCTTTCCATGAATGCCTTTTCTCCTACCTTGAAATATTGTTAACTACTTTCCTCTTTAGGAAAGGTTACCCACCACTACCAGGATTCCTAGTTTTCAGACATATTAAACTATTAGCTGCACAACTTAGAGAATTATGTAAAATAAGTTTAAAAAATTTAATGAGAAACCTTTGAGAATGTTATGGCAAACCATCCCAAGATGCAGAAAACCTGGGAGAATCCCATAGCCTGCTCAGCAAAACGCAGAATAAACAAAAGTGAATAACGACAACAAGTCTACAACAACAACATTCAAACTAGACTAAATGTAGTGAGATAGGATTGGACTTACAACTCGACGACCTGCGTAATCTGCTATTCTACCACTCGCAACGGCACCAATCATGGCTCCAATCGTCAAAATGGAACCAAAAATTGAGTACTGCAAATAGTTTGACCATTAAGGTACACACGTCAAACAAATGGCAAGTTGTAATAATAAATGTTACAAAATTGAAGTTCAAAGTAACCTGGGCCACTCCTAGATCGAGGTCACGCATGATTCCAGATTGAGTAGGTGATGAATATCCAATCTGCAAAATTAACATGGTGGTATTCATGTGACAGTGCTCATTTTGAGTAATCAATCAGAAATCATGCCATATAAGTTGTAACATAATTATCATATAACATAACGAAATTGAGTTTTGATAAAGTGGTGAAGTGAAAAACGTAAATGGTAACTCTAACTCACAGCAGAGCCAAAAACGTAAGAACCAAAGACAGCGACGAGGGTGGTGAGTATAAGAGTAGTTGGTGGGGAAGAAGGTCCGTTATGGAGAAAGTCAACGGCATCATTGGCAGCGTAACTTGTGGGGAGAAGAGGAGTAGAAGAATCGGTTGGTTCAGTGGTTTTGTTATCCATGATGATGAATATGGTTTAATTGCGTTGCGTTGTAAGACAGAGAGAGAAGAGAGAAGGTAAGTTGAGAGTTGAGAGTTGAGAGTTGAGAGTTGAGAAGGTTTAAAAGATTACGGAAGAGAAAGGTATGGCGTTGACCAAGATGACATGAGATGAGATGGAGATAAGAGACATGAACATGACTAGTGTCGTCTTTTTTAAACACTGCGTTAACGTTGTCACTTGTCACTTGTGCGCTTCTTTTTCTTTTCTATTTTTTAAGCGTGCCTCTTTCCGATTTAATTTAAAACTATAAAAAAACGAGATACTTTGCTTAGATACCTCCTTCTAGATTTCTAGTTATAGAATTTTTTTTTTTTTTAATAAAACGTAAAATATTAACTCTTAAATATGATTTACATCTGAACTTCAATCTTTCTTTTAATTCTTATAAAAAAAATTATGATATTTTAATCTCTAAATTTTAATTTTATTATATAAATTAATATTTTTATTATATTTGATTATTAATTTTGTTAATGTTATGATTAGTTAGTTAATAATTTATAAATTGATACATATTCTTTCTTTTATTTAACATGCAATTGTTACAATTTTATAATAAAAAATGAGTTCAATATTCGTTTTTTTGTTTAATTTTGAGTTTATAACTCCGTTTGTAAACTTGCCATTTGTTGATTGTGATATAACAAAAAGAGTAAATATAACATATATAAAAATATATCATGGAATTTTTATCTTAATAACAATTATTTAAAAGTTATCGAAATTTATGGTTTTTTTGTGTGCATTTTTTTATTATATTTTTCTAAACTCTAGTCAAACAGCCGCCAACAGGGCGGCTAGTAATATTTTATGGTAATGTTAATTTATACGTGGGTCGTCGGTATTGTGAAACGTTTAAAGGATGGGGGAAAAAATATTCTAACATAAAATAATTATTTTATTTTGTTATATTATATTTGAATTTGTATAATTCTTATGTAAGAAAAGTTAGGTCAGAATTGTCTTTTTTTAGTTCAAATTGAACTAAATTTAAGTTTGATGGATATAAAAAAAAAAAGTTAAAAAATCATATTAATATTAATAATAAAGGAGAAAACCTTATTCAATGTATACCTTTTCTTTTTTATTCCATTTTTAACAATGGCTCGTACGCTTAAATAATTGCATTCACTGATAATAATAAAAAATTGTATGAAATACTTATTTTTTTACTAATCTTGGTATAGATGATGACTAGTTGTTAGAATACAAACAAGTTTTACATCGATAAAATAAAAAAAAATTATAAAGCACATACAAATTTCAATGTTAGAGAGACTTTTTGGGTAATGACTAAAAGCAAAATCATGAGGACTTAGGTCCAAAACGGACAATATTTTATCATTGTAAAATTGTGTGTATAATAACCTTATAAAAATAGTATCATATAATAACCTCAACTCTAGTATCAAAGCTGCAAGGTTGGATGGGGTAACAACCCTTATAATCCTCGTACTTAGACTTAAAACAGACAATATCTCCTCATTGTGGAGTTGTGTGTAATAACCTTATAAAAATAATTATTATAAAATATTTTCTCAGACAAATACTATATAATAACCCCAATTCTGGTATCTAAGCCGCAAGGTTAGATGTGATAACAACTTTTATAACCCTCATAACTATTCTGTTGCATGAAAGGTTAGATCCATTGTTTGAGGGGAGGATTGTTGAGATACAAATCATTCTCACATTGATAAAATAAGAGAAAAAATAATAACGTATAAAGCACATACATACTCCAATATTAGAGAGACCTTTTGGATGATGACCAAAAATAAAATCATGAGGACTTAGGCTTAAAGCAGACAATATCTCATCTTTATGGAGTTGTATGTGTAATAACCTTATAAAAATAACTCTCATAAAATATTCTTTCATGTAAATACTATATAAAAAATAAATAAATAAAAAGATGACTAGATAAGATATATCATACATGTCTTCCTGATGTGTAGTTCTTATCGGTCCTGAGGGGAGGGTAGGAACTGTGTATGAATCACTGTTCATTGTAATCATATTCAATAACCAGATTATAATTTATTCTCTCCTAATCACACTTTTATTAAAATATTCATTTCTTAATTGAGATAGTGACAACCGCCAAATAGGAAAAAGGGAGACTAATGGGAAAGACTTGGGCCATGCACCGATGCACCTTTTAAGTTTCACATTTGATAATTACAACTCAAATTATTAATAATTAACGAATTCAATACACTTTCGTGTCAATATATATATAAACACAAAAGTACTTTATTTATGTGATATTGTGGTATGATGCTTTAGAAGAAATTCAGTTATGCTGGTCGGTAGAATGAGAAAAAAAAATAGAAAATAATGTATTATTTTATATGAGTAACTAGTTATTAATTGAAGTGGATAATTATTTTAGATAAATTAAAAAGGATAAAAGGATATGTACACTAATATCATGAAAATTAATAACATATTTAAAAATAAAATAAAAAAAATGTGAGGATAAAAAGATTAAAGTCATGGATATACTTTTTAAAAAATATTTTTATATTTTATTTTCAATCTTGTGAGAAACATCTCTTTCTTTTATACTAATTAAAAAGAGAGAGAGAGAAAATGAGACGTGAAAATTATAAAATGCTTATGAAATATGTAATTTATTTTTGATAAATAATAATTTTTACTTAAATTAATAAAGTGAAATTGTTGAGTTGTTTTATATTAAAAAAAAGTGTGCAATTATCATTAAAAAAGATAAAGACGTCTTAAAAATTGTATACACAAAAAGAATGGTTTGGTTCAATTTTTAAATTATCAAAACTACACGTTTTAATTTAGTTTCTAAATTAGAATGTGAAACCACATCAAACCAAATTAAATTGCACATATTTTAAAATATTTTTTTACCCAAATACATGGTATTTGTATACAAACTAGCACAGAACATAAAAGGTATTTTATAAAAGTATAAACTACTAAAATGTGTTTTTTTTCTCAAATATATGTTATAATATTTGAGAGGTATTTTATAAAATTGTAAGTTATTTATCTAAACTTTAGAATGAAAATTTTGAATTATTTCTAATGTTCAAATTATTTTTTTTAAAGTGACAAACTATATATATGAGAAAAAATATCCAATATGACAATTAAAATTTTAAAAAATATTTGTACTAAAATAATAATTAAGATTTGATGTTAAATATATTAAATGAATGAAATATTTTAGTATTTCTATACATTTAGTTTTACTTTTATGTATCATCTCAAACAAATAAGATAATATTACATATTTTTAGTTATTTTTAAATAAAAAATTTTAAAAATACAAAAATCAAACCAAAATAAATTGTAAAAAATTAGTTTAGTCTGATTCAAATTTCATAATTCATTCAAACTAAATCACACTTTCTTTTTTCTTTGATTTGGGTGATTTTTAAGATAAAATTAAATCAAGTTATACTATAAATACCCAAGTTTGATAAATAAATTTATAGAAAAATAGGAAAATAAAAAGAGAATAAAAACACAAGAGAGAGAAAAAGTATTTTAAAAAATAATGGATATAATAATTAACAATATATATATATATATATATATATATATATATATATTAAAAAGACATATTATCTTTATTAATAATATAAATTAAAAGAATAATTTTTATCTTTTAATCACTTCTTTCAAGTACTCACTTCCTTCCTTTATTCCAGCTCTGAAATTAAATATTAAAATAATAATATTGGAAATTATTTACTAGCTAGACTAAATAAATATTATTTAAAAATATAACTTTGTGGATCTATCTGTTATTTTATTAAAATATATTTTCAAAATTTACTTTGTAAAACAAATATTTTATTGTAGAACTACATCTTAACAAAAATAACAGATCTCTGAAATTATTTTTCAAAATAATATATATTTATTTCAAGAAAATAATTTTCCGATAACATTTAAAAAATCACAAGAACATTCGTACATTGAAAAATCAAGTATGATGATATCTTCAAGAAAATGCAAAAAAAAGAGTAACTAATATCAAATATGACAACTTCTCTATTTCGAATAATTTATAATAAACTAATCACAAAAAATTATGGATGAAAAATATAATTCAACATATTAATTCATACCTAAGAAAATAAAATTATGATATAATTTTATTCTTTTTTATTAAAAAGGAGAGAAAAGAAATTAACTGTCTTAATTTTAATTAATATTTTTATTTATTGTATTTTCAATCTTTTATCTCATTTCAACACTTCATATCATTCAAATTGTTTATCTTAATTTTTTATTTATTAAATTTGACTCAATTAGGTCATTTATCTTTTAAATTTGATTTTATTTGATCTTTTTAAAATAGTAATTAATTTTAACTTTGACACCTAATTTTGAATTTTTTTTATTGATTTAATACATGAAATTTGTTCCATTTAATTTATTTATATAAATATTATGAAATTATTTTGATGTTTAAACCTAAAACAATTATAAAAATAGTGAAAATTAAATGAAAAATAAATCAAACGAGAAAAAATATTATATTATATTTTTAATTTCCAGTTGTTGGATGCAATTTCACATAATTTTTTTATTATATTTATGACTTTTTTAATTCAAAGATTAATTTAGTTTAACAATTTTTAAGTAAATAAATATATTAAAATAAATATCGTATCTTAAATTAATAAAAATAAATAAATTTATATCTCAAAATTAAAAATAATCACTAATTTAAAAAATCTATAAAATAAAATAAATTTAATTGTGACATATTTGACTCATTAGTTTTAAAAATAAAAAATCATGACATCTATTCATAAGACTTTTTTTTTTTATGATATAAGACGTTTGCTTATTACACGTTACTATCACTCCCGAGTCAAATATGTCAGATCTTATCTGGTCAAAAGAACTCTAAAACAGTAAATTGCCTTTTATATATATTATTCAGGTGAATATTTAAATATATATTTTTTTGATAAGCAAACAAGATTTGAATTATTGGGAGTACAAGGGGTACTCCAACCCGTTACAATAGAGTTCAAAACCAAAACAAAAATTATGAGATACACAAACCCGAATTATAATACCAACTAATATAACTAAAAGAACAATCGGGGACAGAACTAGTAATCCACTTCCATGAACGCAGTTTAATGTTGTCCAACACTTCCTTACAATTCATAACACCTTGCTGAAAGATAATAACATTCCGATGAAGCCATAGTGACCAGATTACTGACACCCAAACCACTTGAAAACACTGAGAGCGTTTTTTATATATACCAAGATTCGTCCAATATAGGTAGAGAGAAATTAAAGAATTTGGAAGGACCACCGCAACCTCCAACCAATTAGCAACAGCTAACCAAGTATTAAAAGCCATTGGACACATTAGAAAGAGATGAAGAGGGTCTTCGACAAACAGAGAGCAAAGAGAGCATAAATTGTTATCCAACTCCACACCACGAACTTGTAACAATGATTTGCATGGGAATGCATTCATGAACACCTGCCAACAGAACACCAAGCACTTGATCGGAGCCTTGCATTTCCAAAGACTTTTTATGACTAGGTGAAAATCTGAGGAATATCTAAGTTCTCCACCCAGCGAGCGCTGCAACCAAAGGTACGCACTTTTCACTGAGAATACACCATTCTTATCACAAATCCATCTCCAATGATCTTGCTTAGAAGAGAAAATTTGCAGACCCTGAAGCATTTCCAACAAGGTATTCACACTCCTTACTTCATGGACAAAAGGTTCTCTTCTCCAATTAACCTGTCACACCCACCTAGATCCCTCCCAAGTTCCATTATGCCCCACCATTGACAACGGATCAAAGGCAAAGGAGTACAAACGAGGAAAGACATCCAACAAGCGCAAACCACCTATCCACTTATCCTCCCAAAATTGGGTCGTAGTGCCATCTCCAATACAACGTTCAATCTTTTCATTCAACCAAAAATTTCCTTGTTGTAGCACCCACACTATATCCTTCCACCACCAAGAAGCTCTCCTATCCACATTTGAGCACTTAGAAAAAGACTTAATGCGCCCATACCTACCATGAAGAACTTTAGCCCACATCATACCTGGAGATAACATACACCTCCACACCCATTTCCCCAGTAGTGCCCAATTGAACAATTTGACATCCTTGATTCCTAGTCCACCCTCATCCTTTGACTTACACACCGTTTCCCATTTTACCCAAGGAATCTTTGAGCCATCCTTGACACCTCTCCACAAGAAATCACGTTGGATGGCCACAATTTCCTTAATCACCGAGTTTGGTGCTTTGAAAAATGACAGAAAATGGATGGGCATTGCATTCAAAACTGAATTAATTAAGGTCACCCTCCCCCCATGTTAAACGATTTCTTCAGATATGGCAAGCGAACCAATCGCACAAGTAGTAAGTAGAAGTAATAGTCGTTCTTCCCAAAGGACTTGAGTAATACAATGGCAATATGTGGAATTAAAGCTAATACAGACTAAAGAATGATTTCATATTTGATGGATTGTAATTGTTAAGTTAAAAAGAGCAAATGAACTAAAGTGAACTTTCATCAAACACTTGGAATGCGGTTTTGAAAATTAACTTATATGAATGAAATGTTAGGGTTAGACTTCACCAACTTTAATCTCATGCATAAGAAACATTCCTTCCCATTCAAACATTAATGCTAGCCCACTAATTTTCTCAAATTCCAATTCCTTGGTTAAAAGAGCCTAAGTTTCATTACAAAATATCAATCCCTTGAATACTTCAATAAATCCACTTGCATTAAGTAAAAGGGCTCCAAACAACAAGTAAATCATGTTCCATTCCTAGACACAAGTTTACTAGGTACCACATTCTCAAACAAGATTACCAATGATATTCCCACACCAAAAGTAATCACAAATCATGTAATAGTTGATCATTCCATACAAGCATTAAGCACAAGAACATGATACTAACATTTGAACGAAGAAGATATATATATATATATTCAAACAAGTTACATGAGAGTCAAGTTGGTTACATCTAACCCCAACAAAGGGGTTTTAGCAATCCATGTCCATGAGATTAGCAAGATACATCAAAAGAGGAAGAATGGAAGAAAACCAATGAGAAACAATGGTGAAGAAGTGAGCCCTAGCTTCTCCCTTTGACCTGTACTTCGCTCCTCCTTTGGTCCCTCCTTCCAGATTATTCCCTTTCGTGCTCAGCCAGAAATTATATCAAGCCACGCAACTCTTTAAGTGACGCGCTCAGCGCGCTACGATACGCGCTTTGCGCATGACGGGAGGTGCGCCGGGCGCGCGATGCCAAATCTCCATCAACTCAGCTTGATCTATTGCGCTGAGCGAGCTGAGGTATGGGCTCAGCGCGAGTCTACTGAAAATGCTAGCTAGCATCACTAGAGTTCAATCGAGCTTCTTCTCTTTGACATGACTTCTTCCCACATGATTACCTATCCAAAAAATCACAAAAAATGAGGATTAAATATGTATAACCCTGTATGTGTAACCAAAGTGTCTTTACTTACAAAAGAGAAGTTAAATTGAGGATTACATAAGTCAAAAGTTAGAAAAGAGTTGAATGTTTTAACAAATTTGGTACTAGAATGTAAGTAAAAATTAACATTATCACCCTAATGGACAAATGCCTATGCTTCCAAGAGGATAGACGCTTACATAAGCCATCAAGTATTGGTCTCCAAGTAGCCAACTTCATAGGGTTTGCACCACGAGGTAAGCACAAATGCTTAAACGATAGTTGACCCACCTTACAATGCAAAAAAGAAGCCGCCAAATCAATAAAATCTACCCTTGAGTGAATGCCAACCACGCAATTCTTGTGAAAGTTAATTTTCATACCGAAAATTAACTCAAAACAACGCAATATGGCCTTTAAGCACCACAAATTTTGCATAGTAGCTTATCCAATTATCAAAGTATCATCAGCGAACTGCAAAAGAGAAATTGGTGAACTTTCACCACCCAAGTGTAATCCCGTAAATAGATTCATATCTAAGGCCCTGATCATCAACAATCTGAGACCTTCTGCAGTAATTAGGAACAAAGATGGTGCTAATGGATCTCCCTGCTTTAATCCCCTGTCAATAGCTACTTCCGCCGTGGGACTCCCATTCACAAGGGCTGATAGACTACCCCCACATACACAACCTTCCATCCACCGGACCCATCTCTCATCAAAACCACACCCTCGGAGCATGAACAACAAGTAATCCTACTCCACAGAGTCACATGCCTTTTCATAATCAATCTTCATAAAAAAATCGGCTTCTTATATTTCTGAGCATAATCAATAGCCTCGGCCGCAACTAGAACACTATCCAACATATGTCTACTAGGAATAAAAGCAGACTGGTTCTCTGAGATAATTGATGGAAGAATACCACGCAATCTATTCGCCAATACCTTCGAAAATTTTATACAAGCACCCAAGCAACGAAATAGGATGAAAATCAGTCATACCTTGAGGGCAGGGAACCTTGGGGACCAAAGCCACAAAATAAGACAAAAGAGCCTTTGGAACCTTCAAGTTAGTATGAAACTCAGCAAGCAAATCCATCACATCCACCTTGATAAGAGGCCAAAATCTCTTCAAGAAAGCAAAATTAAACCCATCAGGTCCTGGGCTTTTGTCGCCATCACTCTCCCTAATCAAACAACACACTTCCTCCTCAGTAAAGTCACCAACCAACCTTGCATTTTGTGCATTAGACAACACAGGAAAACCAACAAGTGACAATTGTGGTCTAAGCCAACTTCTATCTTTGAAATGCTCCTCAAAATATGACCTCACAACCTTTTTCATCTCATAAACCTCCTCTACCATTCGCTCACCTATCTTCAAAGCAATAATCTGGTTACGTCGCGGCCTTCCCCTGATACAAGCATGAGAGTATTTGGAATTTAAATCACCATATTTACCCCAACGAACTCGCGCCTTTTGAGATAACAAGCTTAGTTTGTTCCTCCGAGCACACCAAATACCATCTACTAGCTCCTTTTGCCTAATCTTTTCTGATTCTGCAAGAAAGTAATCCTCATTCTTCGCATCCAGCTCCTTTAATTCCTTGGTCAGACTTTTTATCTTGGTATCCACATTACCAAACACGTCGACGTTCCACTTCTTTAGAGTATTTTTCACATTCAAGAGCTTTCCTCTTAATCTCTAGGCGGCCCATGTACCTTGGACCTGTTTCTCCCATGCAGACCTCACCACACCCTCAATACCACTATGTGAAAGCCAACAATTATTAAAGCGAAACGGTTTAGGACCCCAGTTTAGTACCTTGTGGTTCAAAATCAATGGACAATGATCAGATACATCACGTGGAATCACCTCCACATATCCTGCGCCCCAGTGAGCACTCCAAATTTCTGAGACCAACACCCTATCCAACCTACTCATCATAGAACCATCACTTTTAAACCAAGTAAATCGCTTCCCAACTAGTGGTATATCAATCAACTCCATATCTCTTATAAACGAATTGAATTCCTCCATATCCCGTACACCGTATTCACCAATCACCCATTTTCTCTCATCTTGTCTTCTCACCGTGTTGAAATCCCCAACTATACACCATAAACAACTCCCAAAACCATGCTTAGACATGATTATCTCTTCCCACAACCGTCGCTTATCCACCAACTGACAAGGAGAATAGACATTCACCACCACACACCTATTCGCATTCACACCCCATCTCAAGCAAACACCATGAAAACCAGAACCAGAAAATGTAAACACCAATTTACCTCGGTTGGAGTTCCAAATAGAAAGTAGACCGCCACTCCTACCTTGAGAAGGAGAAGCAAACCACTCAAACTCTGTAGATCCCCATAAGTGAGCACAAAAAGCACGATCACAGTATGTATATTTGGGGAGATTTTACAGAGAAAAAAATTAAAAGAGAAATAAATGAGAAAACAAGAGTTTTTAGATGTTTGAAAAAGGAAAGAAAAAAAATGTATTCAACATTAAATATTTAGAATAACATATTTATCTTTCTATATTGAGTTATATAAATAATTGAGAATAAATATATCTTTTCAATACACTTTTTCTATATTCTTCTACTTTTTTCTCATTTCTATCTATTCAAAATTACAGATAAGTTAAAAAAATATCAATTTATTTTTTATTCATTCTCTTTTTTTTTTCTTATTTCTTTCTACTTTACATATCTCTTTGAAGAACAAAATTTAGAAACAATGTCATAAGTGTTGTTTTTACTATTATTCTATTATAATATATCACTTAAATATTTTTTTCATTTTTTTCATGTCATATTAGTAATTCAAGAGACAATTATTATTGCTCCCATTGACTTTCTTTCTCTTACTAAACACTCCCACTAAAAAATCTCTCTTTTTCTTCATGATTTCACGGAATTTTTTTGGTTACTTTAAATTAGAATATCTAAAAAAATAAAACTTACAAACAACGTCATAAGTGTTGTTTTTTTGAGTTATCTTATTATAACATGCCACTGGATATTTTTTCACATCATATTAGTAATTCAAGAGACAATTGTTATTGTTCCCATTAACTTTCTTTCTCTTAGATTCTCTTAATAAACACTTCTTGATAAAAACTTCCTCTTTCTCTCCATGATTTCGTAAAATCTTTTGTTACTTTGAAATAGAATACCCAAAATCATAGACAGTTCTAGCATATTCAGAGAAAAGTGAGACTATTAACAATGAGTTCAGCAAAACATTAGATCTCATTATCAATAATTTATAGGCAAATCCTTATAAAGTAAACACTTAAATCCTCAACAAGTAAATCTTTACAAAGTAACTACATTTGTTCTTTCTTCTGAGTTAATTTTCGCTGCTTGGGTTGAAGCTTTCAAACTTCCACGATACTAGTCAAGAGGAAGGAGGTTGCTAAAACCTATTTGAGTAACATGGTGAAAGATGTGGTTATCACTGTCCCTACTCCAACAACACATAGAGACAAGTCATGAATGATATGGGCAAAATTGCAAGTTTAAGCATGTCAAAGATCATTAATGAGCTAACCACATTTGTTATCACTTGGAAGGGTGGAGAGAAACTGAACATAACGTGTCCGTATTTGATTTTCGTTAGTGAAGAAAGAGTTAATAGAATATGACGTGGAAAAAATATCCAGTTGACATGTTATAATAGAATAACAGTAAAAATAGTACTTATGACATTATTTGTAAGTTTTGTCTTTATTTGAACAAAGTATAACATTGTTATTATTAAAAAAAAAAAACTTTACAATCACAAGTATCACTATTATTTTTTATAAAAATTAAATTTAATACTAA